GAACATTATTGTCTTTTCCAATGTGTCTTCTCATTTCATGGTGTGTCCAATGCATGATAACATCAATTTAGTCATTTTGATTTCCTGTGAAAGTTCAGACTTGGTTAGCTCTTGGACCCATTTGTCTGTCCTTTCAGCAGTCCATAGTATCAGCAGACCTCTCTTCCAGCACCACTTTTTAAATGAGTTAATATTTTCCCTATCAGCTTTCTTCACCATTGGTCATGTAGTACCGTCTGTAAAAAATGAAATGGACAAACTACAGAAGGCTGCTGCATTATGAAGCAGAAATACAATCTTATCATATGATTTATAGATCAGTTTAACCACTGTTGGAAAAACATTATTGATTAGAACTTCTGGATTATTATTTGCTTTAAAAGTAAAAAGATTTATTGACATGACTTACAGGAATTGTGCAGGATGCTATTCCTGAAAGAAAGGCTTAAAGGATTATTGAGTTTGCTGAAGAGATTAGGAAACACCAGGACTGCAGTTTGAAACTGTGCTCTTAACATTCTACATGACTTTCCATCAATTGCTTCTGAATTCATTGTTTGGCTCTAATATGCAATTTTAGAATACAATCTTTTTGTCCCCTTAGTATGGCAACTCAAGACTTTGTGATTACTCAGTTAAATTGTAATTGGGCAATATCAATTGTTTACATTAATGTAATATAATTTAATTTAATTGTAATATAATATAATGTAATATAATTTAGTTTAATTGTATCAATAATAATAATTTACTCATTTAATTATATGAAATCAATATAATTATTAATTATAATTTACTCCTGCTGCTTTTATACATGAGATTTTTTTTAAAAAAACCTTCGATCATTTTAATGCAATACTGGTGATAATAATTATGATGAGAATAATAGCGAAAAATAACCACTGATTGTTTTCTCATCTGAACAGTAACAATGTTTCTCTTCTTATGTGAACACATGAATACAGTGGGCCCTCCACATTTGCAGCTTTGAATTTTTGCAAATTTGATTATCTGCGGTTTTGATTAATATGTTGTTCTCTAGGAATCTCTATGTCCTCCAGCCCAATTCTGCTGGTGATTGATCATAGAGTTGTATTGGGGAACCTAGAAGGTCTTAGAAAAAAAAACATTTCTCTAGGCATTTGTAGGTCCTCCAGCATGATTCGATGATCAACCTCTGGCAGATGCACTGGAGAACCTGGAGATTCCTAGAAAGATGTTCTCTTAAGTAAAAAGAATAATGGTTTGTTTGTTTTTAATTTGTGGTTTTTCTACATTCACAGGGGTTCTTAACCCCCACCCCCAGTGAATGTGGAAGAACCACTGCATAGGAACACTAGGAAAGCCTGTGTACAGAGTCAGACCATTCATCCATCCAGCCCAGTTTTGTCCACTTTGACTGGCAGTAGCTTCTTAGGGTTTCAGGCCAGTTTCCTTCCTAGTTCTCCATGGAGATCCCTGCTATTCCCTGGTGGCCTCCCATTCAAGTAGAAATCAAACTTGATCCTGCTTAGCTTCAAAAATCAGACAAGAAAAGGAGTGTCTGGGATGGTTTGGCAAGAAACCACAAAAGTCCCCAAGGCAAAAAACCAAGATGAGTACCAAAAAACCCAAAGAAGGGGTTATGCCAAAGGAGTAAAAACAACAATGCCCCACCCAACTTCAAAAACAATAATGTAAGAAATAGCCAAACCCTGGAGCAGAAAAACCTCTATAATTACTAAAAGGTTAAAATTACCCCACAATCACGTGCCAATAATGAAAATAAAATAAAAGGCACCAAAAAATCAAGGGCTGAATATATAAAAGGATAACCTTTTATATATTCAGCCCTTGATTTTTTGTGCCTTTTATTTTGGGTGGGGCATTGGGTGGGGCATTGTTGTTTTTACTCCTTTGGCATAACCCCTTCTTTGGGTTTTTTGGGATGATTTGGCTACATTTAACATTTAAGATTTGTGTAAATATTTAGAAAAATGGTGAGCAACCTCCGTTGGTCTGGAACCTAACCCTCTCACAGCAAGACTGGAAGTGAGCAAGAAACTTCCCTTGTTTAATCCCCCCACCTTCAGTGAAACAGGGTGCATGTGGGCTGTATGCCTCATTTTGAGGGTGAGTTGCAGTTCCTGGAATTCCATGGGAAGAATTCTCAATATTTTACATTAACTTTTGGAAAGCAATGGAGGGGAAAAGTGGGGGGAAATATTCCAAGTGGCAGCAGTATTCCAAGGGTCACTGAGTCCCTTTGAGTCTTGGAGCCATTGGGGGGAAGCAGATGAGGGCCTCTGGGACGCTGCGGGATGGTGCGCTACGGGACCGAGGCATCCGCACCGCGGCACACCGTCGGCGCCCCTGAAAGGAGCGCTAAATCAGCACTCCTTTCAGAAGTCAGTGAAAGTGCACCCCAAAAGCATAGGGCGCACTTTCACTGACTTATCCGCCGCAGCATGTGCGGACACTGCGGCGGGAGGTTGCCCTCAGAGCTCTGGCAGTGCAGAGGGCCGGCTGCTCCAAGGACAACCTCGGGAGGAGGAAGGGGCGCCGAGCATGCGGCTGCCCCTCCTCTTCCCTGCCTCGGGGACGGCTCTATTGGCCATCTGCCAAGGCCCATTGCTGACTTATGGTGCAAAAGACATCCAGCTTGTTTAATAGTCTCCTCGGGGGGAAGCAGACCGGTGGCACGGGGCCGCCCTGGGAAGGTGCGCCACAGGATCGAGGCATGGGCGATTTTGTTAGTGAGATAAAGGAGCTGTACAGATGGACCCTAAGGAGTGGCTCTGTGCCGCCCCTGGAAGTGCTGGATCAGGGCATGGCAACCGCATGCTGTGGCCCTGATCCAGCATTTTGCCACTCTAAAAATAGCTGGCAAATGCTGCTCTTTTTTGGAGTGGCAAAAAGCTGCCCTTGTTGCTGTGGCAGTGGCTCTTCTGCATTCCTTTGGCGAAGCATGTCTCAACTCTGCGCCAAGAGAACGCCTTGATGCCTCCCGCCATCTGTTTGGGCAGGCAGCATGAGAATGATGTGGGGGCAGAGTTGGGGCAGCTAGTGTGCGGTCGCCACCCCCCAACTCCACCCCCAGGCTGGCTCTTTATGCCAGTCTGTATAGCCCCAAAGTTGTACTCAGTGGGAGAAGGATGGGCCTCATCAAATTGGGAACTTTCTTGTTCTTCCTGTTGGATGTTTCAAGTTCTGTCTCTTTTAATGAACGGATTTCTATTTGTTGTTGTGTCTAGTGGTACATCCTCTGATAGTTGTATTTCAATTAGAGTATCACGTAAATTAGTTAATTTGTAGATAATTTCTTCCTGAGATGTTGTAGTGAGAACTGAGAAGGAGTTTATCAAAGATCTTTCCTCAACTATAAATTGGTCCTTACCTTTCTGCATGGTCCTTCCTTTAGTACAGTTATTGTCTGACTGAGAATTCTGCGTTATTAATATTCCAGTCTTACAGTTGTGGGGGAGCTGTAGAGTCTTTTTGAAAAGCAGGGTAATAATCATGTTCTTAAAATATCTACGTACTTCCATGCCCACTTCAGTAAATTTGATTTGTATATATATATATATATAGAGAGAGAGAGAGAGAGAGAGAGAGATTGAGATTTGCTGATCCTTAAACATCACAATTGTGCGGGCTCAGTGATTATTGTAGAAAAGATATTCTATATTTAAAATGTCCACTACTTTCACATCCAAGCCTATGTCAATCCCAATGATATTTGACGTAATTGTTAAATTGCTGTGACATATTGTTGTTAATTTGATGTGATATTCTGTTGTACACCGCCTCGATTGGCTCGCCAGAGAGGCAGTATATAAATAAATCGTATTATTATTATTATTATTATTATTATTAATTACCTTTGCAAAGTGTACTTTACATTGGAATTGTGACATCAAGCCTCTTGGTTTTGGAAAATTTAGGAATGTTAATGTTAGATCAGGGGTAGGCAACCTTTTTGAGCCGGGGGCCGGGTTGCTGTCCCTCAGACAACTGGGGGCCAATCCACCATAAATAAATAAATAAATATTTTTTTTTAAAAAAAAAAAATGCATGCACACTCTCTCAGCCCCAGAAAAGCCATGGCAAAACCCCTGTGGAGATTTTGCCAAGAAAACCCCAAGAACAAGTAATAACAACAATAATCAATATCATCATGGCAGGCGGCGGCGATGGCAAGACCGGCCTGGGGCTGGTCCAAAGGCCTCGGAGGGCCGCATCCGGCCCCCGGGCCTTAGGTTGCCTACCCTTGTGTTAGATGATCCAGTGAAAACAAAAGTGAAACCAAAAAACAACTGAGCAGGCTATAACTCACAGCTCTTCCCAAAAAGTCTTAACTGTTAATATTAACAATATTAGAATATTAGCCAGTATGGCATAGTGGTTTGAGTGTTTGACTATGACTCTGGAGACCAGGCTTCGATTCCCAGCTCGGCTATAAAACCCACTGGGTGACCTTGGGCAAGTCACATATTCTCAGCCTCAGGGGAAGACAATGGCAAACCTCCTCTGAACCAATCTTGCCAAGAAAACCCAGTGATAGGTTTGCTGTAAGCGACTTAGGGTCACTGTAAGTTAGAAATAACTTGTACACAACAACAACATTAGTATATAATATTAATATTATAATAGTAATATAATAGTAATATCTCCTAGTATTTTTTACAGTGTTGAGAAAAGTAGTTTCTTGATGGTACTTGTTACAGAGAGGTTTTTTTAATCTCATTTTATTACACATTGCAAGGCTCACTGCCCTTTTTGTTATTTTCCATTTAACACATAGGATTGAAAATGGCACAGAACTTGAAAAAAATCCCGTCAAAACATTTCTTTTAATGTTTGTTAAAAGTAACTTTTAAAATAATTAGAAAATGTTGTCTGTTACACCAATAAAATGACTTTCTCCCCCACTTGTTATATTACTTGTGAAGTGTAACTTCTTTATTACTATGCTAGAAAAAAAAATAATTTGTTTAGCGTAGGTGTATTACTTGCAGAGAGCCAGCATGGTGTAGTGGTTTGAGTGTTGGACTAGGACTGCAGAGATCAGGGTTCGATTCCCGTTTGGCCATGGAGACCCGCTGGGTGACCTTTGGTGAGTCACACACTCACAGAAAACCATGTGATAGGGTTACCTTAGCATTGCCATAAGTTGGAAATGACTTGAAATCACACAACAACGATATTACTTGCAACTCTGGCATATGTGGAGGGTAGAGATGAGAAGATGCGGATCTTATTTGCACTCTCCTCATTTGCAGCCCCTGATCTGCTGCTTCTTACCACACAGAAAAAAACAAAGAAGGGGTTTATGCCAAAGGAATAAAAACAACAATGCCCCACCCAACTTCAAAAACAATGGTGTAAGATATATAGAAAGGGTTAGCTAAACCCTGGAGCAGAAAAGCCCCTAAAATTACTAAAAGGGTAAAAGTACCCCACTAAATCATGTGCCAATAATGAAAACATAATAAAAGGCACAAAAAATCAAGGACCAAATTTATAAAAGAATAACAATGCCCGTAAAAAACACACTTGTAGTTCAAAAAAAGGCAAATTACTAAAAGGGTAACATTTACCCCACTAAAGGATCTGCTCCAGGGTTTAGCTAATCCTTTCTATATATCTTACACCATTGTTTTTGAAGTTGGGTGGGGCATTGTTGTTTTTATTCCTTTGGCATAAACCCCTTCTTTGGTTTTTTGGTATATATCTTGGTTTTTTGCCTTGGGGACTTTTGTTGGTTTCTTACCACACAGAGCCACCATGAGGCAGGAGTGGAGGCCTAAGCAGACTGCCAGAAATAGTGCACATTAAATTGAGGCACTGCCCTGGCTCAGTGCTAGGAAATCATGAGAATTGTATTTTTTTCTGAGACATTGAACCTTCTCTGTCAGAGAGCTCTGGTGCCACAATAAATTACAGTTCCCATGATTCCTTAGCCCTGAGCCAGGGCAGTGCCTCAATTTAATGTGCACTATTTCTGGCAGTCTGCTTAGGCCCTGGGTTACCCAGCCCTACCTTTAGGCAAACTGTTCCATTGCTTGGCATGATTTATAGTTTAAAAGCTCTTCCTAACTTCCAGGCAAAGCCATCTGAGCTGCCATCTGAACCTTTTATCTCTTGACTTGACCATGATAGGGAGGGAAAAACAGGTTCTTATCCTCTCCATGGCAACCTTTCATGATTTGTGGGTCTCCGCTGGCTTGTTTGGCATACTTTTTAATGGGATTTGTAGATAACAAGCAGACAATTTGTGTTACCATTCCTGTGGGATTTGTTGTAGATCAGTTGTCTACGCTTGCTTGGAAGAGCATGATAAATCACAAGGAGTATATCATAAAGATGGTCCTTAAACATTTTAAGTAAAAGATAAGGTACATAACAGCCGAGATAAAGAATAGCATACAAGAATCCTCTCTATGTAAAGGGAAAGGATAATTTTGATTTTACAGCAGTTTTTACAGAGCTTGGGAAAGGAGCTTTTAGGGGAATGAGACTACAACTTGGAGGATTCTCAAAGCTGGTATTATGCCCAGTTTTGCTGACCAGGGAATTCTGGGCATTGCAGTCCAAAAACACTCAGTTTTTACAGGCTTTGGCTTTTCATTAGAGAAGATCAGAAGGACCTCTGAACAAGTGTGTGCCTCTCTCCACCCATCAATTGCTGAACAATTTTTTTAGACTTAAAAAAAATATTTTCTTTTTTCCATATTTGTTAGATCTTATACAAGGTATAAGAGATCTGAGATCAGAATTACTCCCTTCTAACGTTCACACTGGACAATTATCTCGCGCTTTATCGGCAGTGGTTCCCTCCTATAGAATCCTCGGATTTGTAGTCTCAAAAGGCACTTAGAATTCTGATAAAGGGTTGTTGTACTGTAGTGTAGTGGACGAGAGGTTACTCACCAGATTACAGCTCCCAGAATTCCATAGGATGGAGTCATGGAAGTTAAAGTGGTGTCAAACTGATATAATTTGCAGTGTGAATGCAGGGACTGCAGTCTGTATATAAGTGTGAGAGGAAGATACAGAGCGGGTGAACTCTTTCACCTTGCACTGTTTTCCTAATTTAAATTTTATCCCTCCTAAAGCTGTTCTTTGTCCTGCCAAGGAAATCATACAGGGGTGTGTCAGATTAAGGCTGTGATCCTATATACAGCCAACTAAGGCCATGTCTGCATGGGCCCAGCAGCACCCCGAAGCTGCCCCAACATTTCTCCATTACCTTGGGCATAGTGATGCCAGGCAGTGGCATCACTAGGGGTGTGTGGTGGTGCAGCCCACACCTCCTAATTCAAGTAATCCTTGCTCTGTCTACTCTAATAACTTAAAAGAGTGTTACTCAAACTTTTTACCCATTACATCTACATGCAGATATTGCACACACATCCCACTCAATCCACTTTATAAATAACAAATAGTTTTTTATTTAGTGTGCCAATTTGCATTTGCACACTCATGTATATTCATATTTTAACATTTTATAGGGAAATAACATTGTTCAAATTAGAACAGTTTTATTTAAATAAATGCAATATTCACTCAACAAATGTGTAAATTTTACACATTAAAAAGTTTGGGGAGAAAAGAAGGAGGAGGGATCAGGGCCTCTTAAGTCTCCCAGGAGTCCTGCCCCACCATTTGCAAACAACTGATTTAAAGGAGGAAGGTTGCGATCATGTGTCTCCCACCTGATATCTATCTAGTCTGGCATGTATTGAAATGCCTTTTTGCTTCTCATCAAGTTCCCCAGATGTTTAAAAATGCACACAGGCATTGCCCAAAGAGGGCTCTACAAACTCACCATATTTGCTTTTGGGAACCCAACCAGTCCTTGAAGTTTATTATATTTTGTAATTTCTAGAAAGCCGTTTATTTTGGTCTTTACATTTTCCTACTCAAACTAGTGGTGTTGGCCCAAAGATGACTTCCAAAATGCTTCAGGTGGGTCTCCAGATTAGAGGGACTCCCCTCCTTCTCACAACATCCAGAGAGATTTTTAGTTTCACCAAATCATGCTGTTAAAATTGTGTATAACCTGTTTAAAAGATAATCTTGCACCTTCTCTATGAATCTGGAATGGGAGAAAAGTGGATCTCCTGATGTTGTGGGACTATAATGCCCACCATCCTTGACCACTGCTCATGCTGGATATATTTAGAGGAATCGTATCACTTCTAGAGAGCCACAGCTCCACCCTTTATTTATAAGGAAGTGGAGAAGGAGACAATCCTTGATTTCTTGGTTATTCTGTTCAAATAAATTCTGCTCTGATTATTATTATTATTATTATTATTATTATTATTATTATTATTATTTATTATATCCCACCTTCTCCCAATATAGTGATTCAAGGTGGCATATGTTAACCTTTAAAATTAGCAGTGATGTCTTCAAGTCTTTTACTCCAAGTCTCAAGTCAAGTCTCTACCTTCAAGTCTCAAGTATCAAGCCGTTGGTGATTATTCCAAAAGAAAGAGATGCGATCAAAACTTTTTACTCCTCTGAATTTTCAGTTTTACAAATTCATGCTCAAACTCCCAGGAGCATAGCAAACAATGTTAGTATGTGTACATATAATTAAGCAATACCAATTCTGGAATTCCTGTTTTTAAAATCTTTATGGCATTGTTATAAGGATGAAGGTGGTCTCCATTTTTGTTAGGAGTTGCTGACTATATTTGTAGAAAATGTTTCTAATGTTGTTTCAGCTGCATATGTGAGTATGTTAAGCTTTCTCATCATTAATGCACGTGATTTACTAGCTTTGAAAATGGCAGAATTATCTATTTTGGTCTTTCTGAATATACCACACACTATAGGCCTTAATTACTGTGCTAGTTGATTCTGGGTTGCAGAATTTTATTTTGGTTTGGGATCCCACTTGGAGTATTAGGGTTGTGTGTGTGTGTGTGTCTTACAGTCTACATGAGGAGTGTCATAAATAATTTAGCTTAAGTGAATGCTGAAATTAGTTAAGGCTCCACATTGCTTGGCTCCCAATCGTCTATTTGAAGCCAAGTATGTAAAAGTGCTCTTTGGCAGAAGACCAGCCTTTACTATCACCCTGCCTCCCCCTCCACACACAAAATAAGCCAAATGGAAAACAATATTATTTCCTTTTAACCATGTTTACATGTCATCCCTGGGATTTAAATGTACTTCGTTCTTCTTGTAATTCCTGCAAGTGGAACAAACAGAAGGAGCCAAGAGCTAGGAGGGAAAAGATAATGAATGAGATACTTTTTGTCCACTACAGGGAAGAATTTTGGATGGCCAAAAGGAAGGAAGCTGTATTACTGTACTATCTTGCAAAACTGTTGGCTCATCATTCAGTAAAGTAAGTGCTTACTATATTTAGCAATGCTACCATGGTCTAGACCTGCTGCAGTGCATCTTGCTTTCTGTTGATTTCCCTTGTTTTTGGAGCAGGGCTTGACATACAAGCACACGCCTGCCTTTAGAAAGCAAACATAAGCAACATCAAGATAATGGTTTCAGCAGAGTTCAGAGATGGGCAGTGAGGATGATAACATGTAAGGAAAACAAAATGTATGAGGAAAGGTTGAAGGAGCTGGTCATGTTCAACTTGGTGAAGAGAAGGGTGGATTTTGATTGAACACTAAAAGGAACTTCTTGACACTGAGAATGGTTTGACAGTGGAACCAATAGCCTAGAGAGGTGGTGAGGTCTCTTTCTCAGGATGGATTCCAAAAGAGGCTGGACAACTACCTGATAGGAATGCTTTAGCTGGGGATCCTGCCTTGACCAGAGGGTAAAACTTGTTTGCCAATGGGGCCTCTTCCGACTCTATGATCCTGTGACTTTCCCCAAATTAGGGGGGTTGCAGACTGCTAGAAATAGTGCAAATTGAGTCCACTTTTAGGGTTAGGGTTAGGGAATCATGGGAACTGTAGTTTATTGTTGCATCAGAGCTCTCTGACAGAGAAGGCTCAATGTCTCAGAAAAAAACCAATTCCCATGATTCCCTAGCACTAACCCTAACCCTAAAATTGGACTCAATTTGCACTATTTCTGGCAGTCTGCAGTCCCTTCCAGATGTT